CTGGGACCTGGGCTGCTTCCTTCTGGCTGCAGGCAGGCATCTGGGACCCAGGCTGCTTCCCTCTGGCAGCCTGCAAGCACCCTGGACCCGGGCTTCACTCAGGCCCCAGTTTTCGTCTGGAAGCGCATCCGGAATAACGCCTGGAAGGACGTCTAGTCTAATTAGCATATTACCCTTTTATTATTATAGATGGTGTAGTATTTGCATATATAACCTACTCCCCTCCCCCTTCCCCCTACTCCCTACCCCCATGTATTTTAAATCATCTCTAGATACCAGTAATACCTAAGGTAAGTGGTATGTAAATAATTATTATACTGTATTGTTTAGGGAATAATGACAAGAAAAAAATGTCTGTACATGTTAGTAGAGATACAGCCATCATAGGCCTACCTACATATTACACGTTAGCAATGTAACATTTTTTTTTCCTGAGTAGTGTTTTTGATTCAAAGTTGTTGAATCTGCAGATGTGGGACCCATGGATATGGAAGGCCAACTGTATTTTGGGAAGTTGCTTAATGTTTTTTCCTTTTCTGTAAAACAGGAGTAGTAGTTATGAAGATTACAAATAATAAATGTAAACTCAGTGCCTAGTCCATGGAAAGTGCTGAGTTAGTAATAGCTAATAACATGGAAAGGCTTTGAGTTATATTGTGTGTCTGCACCCTGTACTTAGCTATGTCGGATTAACTGTGTATGGCAGGTTTCTGATAACTTTGATAAAGGCCCAGAATCATCTCTGATTTTAAGCCATTCTCAGCTTTGTAACAATCATTTTGGCCTTATTTTCTTGTCTGTCTTCCTTTATGTATAACTTAATCTACTCCACTAAGGACAAGAGGGAAGTTAGCTTTTCATTCAGTAAACATTTGAGTACCTGCAATAAGCTAAACATACATAGAACTTAAACAAATGCTCTTCTGTTTTAGAGTTTACATGCAGTGTCATGAAAATTTTTCCTCTATGTAGAAACAACACTTTTCCATATCCTTGGTGTTTTTTTCCCCAAAGTGTAAAATAGTCATTGATTTACAAGTATAATATAATTCTTCTTTTTAGCCAAGATTTGCCCACTTATAAAGTGGATACAGTGATATTCTGTTTACTTTTGAAGAGTTTCTGTGGCACATGAACATGAAAATGACATTTGTGTAACATGCTGATGTTTGCAGGTTAGATCTGGCAAATGCATGTGAACAATTTGTAGCTATCTGGGGTGAAAATAATAGTATCTTCCAGACAGTACATTTAAAGTTTAAGAATATATCAATAGCCTTTAAGTAAAGCTTTCTGCAATTAAAATGAAAACTAAAATGACAAGTTTTATTTTTCTTCCCAGAATTCTTCTATTCCTTCAACTCTTCCTGAACCCATGACTGCTAGTGAAGCAGCTTCTAGGAAAAGCCAAATAAAAGCGAGGTAAGCGACATTTGCAAAGGCTTTTTAAAGGGGAATATTTCTCGTTTTTAATCCTAGCAAATGTAATTAATTAAATATCATCTAAGCCTACATAAAAATGTTGTGTTCCTTCTTACATGTGTTATAGAATTTAAATAATGTTACCTTTGAGAAGATTTCTTAGTCACAGCTTTTTTATGTTGTATTTTTACTGATACAAAGTATTTTATTTGACATAAAATATATTTGTCATGTATCTGTTATATGCAAGATATTGATACTAGAAACACAAAGAAAAAGAAGCAGTGTTTATTTTCAAAGAGTTCACATTCTAATGAAGATAGACAAGTGAACAATTCCATCCTGATAGATATCAGGCAACTTTGTGCGTGGAGGAAGGGAAAGACGGGGAGCAGAGAAAACAGGAGCACAGAAAGAATCCAGTCCTTTCCCTAGGGGTGGGGGTTGCTGAGCTGCTGCTCAAAGGATGAATAATATAGTCCATCACCTGATATGATAGGTACTTCAGGCAAGAAGAGTGGCCTTTGTGAGACTGTAAGGCTGGTTCATAGGGGACGCATAGGGGTGGGAAGTGTATACTGGAGTATGGGGGATGGATGCGGGAGTGGTGGGAATGAAGCTGAAGAGCTAGGTAAATGTCAGTCAGGAGCAACTTTATTTATATGTCTTGCTGAGAAATTTGGCCTTTGGCGTTTAGAGCAGTGAATTTTAAACCTTGCAGTCAGTTCTATTTGGGACTTGGTTGTGAGATGTTTTCTGAATAATCTATTATTTATAAACTAGAGGCCCGGTGCACAAAAATTTGTGCACTCGGGGGGACGAGGGGGGTCCCTCAGCCTGGCCTGTGCCCTCTCGCAGTCTGGGACCTCTCGGGAGATAACGCCCTGCTGGCTTAGGCCTGCTTCCGGGTGGCAGAGGGCAGGCCCAATCCCTAGGTGCAACCCCTGGTTGGGCTCAGAGCAGGGCTGATTGGGGAGTTGAGGCACCGCCCCATGTCATGCACAGAGCAGGGCGGATCGGGAAGTTGCGATGCCACCCCCAGGCACGCTCAGGGTAGGGCCAATTGGGGGGTTGGGGCACCACCCCCTGTCACACTCAAGGCAAGGTAGATGGGGAGGTTGCTGCGCCAACCCCTGTCATGCACAGAGCAGGGCCAATCCGGGGGTTGGGGCGCCGCCCCCTGTCACAGAGCAGGGCGGATCAGGGGGTTGGGGCGCCACCACTCTCACACTCAGGGCTGGGCCAATGGGAAGGTTATGGCTCTACCCTGTCACACACAGAGCAGGGCCCGTGGGGAGGCAGGGTGGGG